ATATATATAAATATCTATCAGAACCAGGGGTATGGCAGAGCTTGGGGAAGTAATGGATCGCGTTGCCTAATTATTTTCGTTGGTGATATATTTACTTATAAAACACATATTAGGGATATATTTTAGACTGCTGGCGGCAGATTGGTGAGAGGGGACTATGTCATACAACAGCAATTTGTACTTGAAAATGTATGTGCCAACAGCTTTTGGAGGGTAAATGAAGGCAATAAATAACAGGCACACACACCTACACACGCGCGCACGCATATACGTGCCCTGCGTAGAGGGATGGGTGGAGGGATGGACTGGTAGAGAGGTAGATAGGGAGCCAGAGGGGGGACTCGAAAAGAAAGCAGGCGTTAATACTGTCACAGCTCCAGGGCAAGTGTGATCAGTTGCGCGCCTTCGAGTCCCGGCGATCAGCTCTCTTGGGCGTGCAGGATCTCCCTCTCCCGACTTGTCGGGTGAAGGGGCTGTCAAAGAAATCTCGCCCCCCGCCAGGACTCAGTGCCTCCGGCCCTCGGGATGCAGCCGATCGGCGCAGGGGGGAGCAGAAACACTGCACTGCCCAGGCGCTTTGGCTCAGTCCCGGTGGCAGGTTAGTGGCGGGCTCGATCCTGCCGGCACTTGCGCTGACAGCAGTGGGAGCGAGCCCCTTGGATCCACTCACCTGCCCGAGCACATCCACCTCCGAGAAGCTGCGTGCAACGCCGGGGCCTAAAAGCAGAGAGGCAGTGGTGGTGGAAGGAGGGCGGCAGTGGACCTGAAAAACACAAGGTGCCCGGCGAGGGGCTGAACCCTGAACCCCCCCAGGGCCTGGAGGACGGGGCTGAGGAGCAGATGCCGGCTTGAACGAGCTTCAGACTCGTGTGACTCGGCCACGATCCTGCCCCGGCTTAGCTCGGTGGGATTTTCCCATTGGCTTTAATGGGAGCAGGCCGGGGGTCCTTTGGTGAGGAAACACGACCCTCCCCTGCGTCCATGAAATCCGTGGGAAATCTGCCATCGGTCTCAGTTGTGAGCGGGGCCGCTGCAAAAATGCGATGTTATCCTGGAGCAACATCTAGCCTGGCACATTCCTGCCCGGGCCCCGCGCCCGGAGGGGGGAAGCCCAGACAGCAGACAAGGGGCCAGAATCCAGCTAGAGACACGGAGCCGGCAGTGGAAAAGAAAAGTAGCCGGTCATTAGCCAGAAGAAACAGTTCCCAGCAATCGTCTCGCACGGCCTTTCATTGCATTCTCCCTACGTGGTGATGGGATGTTTGAAACCCAGGAATCGAGGAGCAGATTGACCCGTCCTGCTTTGGCCCGCCCGGGTGAAGCAGGGCGGCAGAAACGAGTGCTAATTAGGCAGGACTTCCACTGTGCGGTCACCTAATTGCTGCAGGAGACCTGCAGCTCGCAGCGTGCGCGGGGCTCAGCACCCGCCGCCCAGCGCATCCTGGACAACACCCGTGTGCACGCAGAGTCAATGGGCGGCCAATTGCGCTGGCATCTGTATTTCTCCAAACAAGTCAATGGGGCTCATGCAGGGCTAGGATGCCAGCCAGCCACCGGGATGCGCAGACCCTCGCTGTGCCCGGGCGCTCCGTGCATCCAGCTTTGGCTAACCACAGGTTGAGTTTTCCGGGTGAATGGGCCAGATGTGCCGAGCTTCCTGCCGGGCCCCCAACAACGGGTTTTGCATTCCCTTGTACCTGCACCTCCAGATCCTGCAGAAGGAAAGGGTAATGACTGGCTTCCGCTACACGCGGCTGAACCTGGCCCCGTCCTGCAGGCACGACGCAGGCTGACAGCCCCGAGGGCAGGAGGCTCAGCACCCTGCCAAGAGCTGCTCACCTCCTTGCCTGGTGGGAATCGCGAGCGGGCGCTGGGGCCACTGCTTCCCCCGCCGCCAACCCTGGGGGCCCTTCCCTTCGGCCTGCTCCAGCCTCCCATGGCTTGGAGCAGGATACATTACAGAGCTCTAGTAAAATAACTCTCAACCCCTAAGTCTGGAGAAGACGTCCTCAGTGAAGCCTCGTATATTTTTCCTCCCTATAACTTTGCTATAGGAGAACATAGCTGCCCCCCCCCGCACCCGACCGAACAGCAGTTGACCTTTGCGCAGATACAAGTGAGGGCAGCGCTTATTATTTTCCTTAGGAGGTGGGGGTGTAACTTTGCTTGCTGCCACTTGAGACAGGCAAGCCTACGTTCCCCTGCACGCCCTGAGGACCCACAAACTCACCCCCTAACCTCCTGCCTGCTGCCCGACTACCGCGCTGCGTTCAGAGGGCATCGCCTGCTCTTCCACAACACTAAAGCTGCTGCCAGATAGTCAGGGCCTGCGGGGGTAGCTCAGGTACTTCCCCAAGAAAGGCATCAAAGTCAGATCTGTGGGCCTGATCTCCAGACAGGCCTCTGTGCTGACCCACGAGGAGGTAGGTCCCTTTGAATTTCTGGAGTGTAATTCCAGAAGTCTAGAGTTAGCCGGGGTATCTGAGACTCTTTATTTGCCGTAAAGATTTCCCAATAACTCTAATTAGGGGAGCAGACCACCCTGGGAGGCAGCAGGGGAAATCGCCGAAGTCAAATTTTCTTTGACTCTGCCCAAGCTCGTCCTCTTAGAAACCAGTTACCAGAATCAAAAGCAGGTAAAGGGACTTTCTGAAACAAACGGAGGCAGAATGCGGATTGCCAAGGCAGTCTAGGCTATTGCATTTCTCGAGAAATAGAGACATGAGATAATATGATATACAGCATACCATGGTGTGCATTGTAATCATCACATACAGAGAGAGAGAGAGACTTTGCCTGTCTTGGGCAAGAAGGAATGAGACTCAAGGTCCCAGGGCCAGGTAAGCAGCTCGTTTCTTAGAGCTCTCTAGCTACACAGATAAAGTGGGACCGCGAGGTGGCGCACTTGATCTACTAATCCTAGATATGACTATTCATGAGCTGTCAAAAGTCAAGGTCACAAATTGTCTTTTTTCGTCAAGGTCAAGGTTTAAGGCCTTCCTTGTCCTGTCATTTCAACAAATACCAAAATCTTCCCGCGCAGACATACCCTGTCCCAGCAGTAAACTTTAGATACTGCAATCTCGGCCTTTGCAAGTCTAACAACTGGTTTTCATTTTCCAACAGGGGCTTGAGCACTCCATTTCTATCATCTCTTTCCTTTCCCCCCTCCCCCCACACCTTTCAAAATACCTGACTCTTTAACCTTACTGAAACATTTATAGTTTAGGAAAGCTAGTTATCAAGCTGGCCATCCCCCAGCTAAATATTTTACAGGAAAAATTATGGACCGCGTAAGTAATTGAAGACATTATTACAATTACAAGAGAGAGACTGGTTTGTTTTGCTTTGCCTTGCTCTTTACAAAACTCATGTAAATGTGGAAAAATAAAGAATATTTCTTTCAGGTTGTATTACAGTGACTATTTTATTAACAGTATGAAGACTACTATACCTATCTACACGTCTTGGGTTTTCAGTTTCAGTAGAAATATAAAAAAATGAGGGTGCACAAATACATTTTCACAGTGCGCTGATTTTTTTTTATTTACAAGATAGCTTCTTATAGTGAATAAAAACAAAATAATGTGCTGGTTGAAATAACTGATTGGATTAAAAGGTGCTGTAAAAAGAACCCCTAAACTTTCTAATGCGGCCTCATAACAGACGATAAACAAGGATAAACGACTAATTACTGATAGATCAAAATATAGATTATATAATTCGAAATATTTCTGGGAAAATGTATTTTCAGTTCGACATTCTCTGAGATTTTTTTTCTCCCAAGAAAGGGCTTTTATTATAACAAAAAATGCCAATGTTCATGAGTTTGTATCCACTCAGAGTCAAACGCGTTCAATTTTCCTAGGATTTACAGTATTTAATCATTCTTGGATGATGTTTAAAATATGGTGAATCCTTTTATAAAAAAATATCTATTGTACAGTCTGCAGAAAATACAGTTCGGATGCCAAGAAATAGCTATTGGAAAACAACCCAAATAAAGATACTTCCAAGCAAATGTTTGTCTTTCAATCCCCAATACTTTGCGTTGTTTTAAAATTTGCTATCAAGATTAATCCTCCACAGAGCTTCCTTCATTACTGGTGTCTGCAATCCTTAGCCAGTACCTTCTTTTTTAGACATAAAATGCATTGAACAGACAGCAATTGTACATTTTTTTTACCACTATGGTTTACCTGAGCGGTCATTCAACATGCAGTTTGGATTGCAATGGAAGAAAAAGAGCTTATGTTTTTACCTCGACCTTCTTATTTTAACCAGCTTTCAGTTTATAACCGTTAGAAATGTTCTACAAGCCTAAAGCCACCGAAGTACTTACAAGACTTTCAGAAAACTGTGGATCTGAACTGAGAGTGAGAATCTCAAGGCTGGGCAGTTGGGTCCTACACAGTTTGTCACTTAGGAACTGTCTGGTCTGGATTTGAGGGAGAACTGTCACTTTTAACCATTTCCTACAGCAATATTTTAAAAAAAGGCTATAATTCCAAAGATACAGATCTCTTGTTCTGAACGAAGAAGTCCACTGTCTTTTTTTTTAATTATTATTAATATTTATTTTAATCTGGGCACAAAAAAGAGTTCTCAAACTTTTGAGTCGCTGCGTCTCCATGTTAATCCATTAACTGGTAGTCTTCAATTTGTTGATGACTTTTTTCTCTTTGACCCGTCTGTTTTGGAACCAAATTGTGACCTGTCTCTCTGACAGATTTGTGGTGGCCGATATCCTCCTCCGTTTGTCCTTGGTAATGAATTTATTTGTTGCATATTCCCTTTCGAGTTCTTTTAACTGAACCTTTGTGTAAGGCACTCGCTTCTTCCTCCCACGTCTGTACGAGTTTGCATCCGAGGGATGCGAAACCACGTCTGGAACAGAAGGAAAAAAACAACCCAACAACCCATGGAAGCAGGCATTAGAAATCGGTTCCCACTGCTCAGGGCACCTACAGCCCTGCACCGAGGTTCAAGCACGCTCCCCCTCGCCCCTGCTCAGCAGACTTGCACGGGGCAGGACAGGCCCCTTCGGAATATGGGATCCCTGTACATATACCATGAATATGGGGGAGATGCATATTTTTTTCCCCTACAGGAAGCAGCGTTTAGGGGCTTGATTCACCCAGGCAGAAATGCCCTGACAGGCATCTCGGGAAAACCGCACACAGTTGCAGTAATTTATGGAGTGTGCAGGCTGCAGTATTTATGGAAAATTCTTGCTAAGAGCGAATACTTAATATCTTTCCGCAGCCTTTTTCAGCTGTCTCTCTCCCCGCTCCAGCTCACTCCCTAATGCAAGCGGGCTCATCTGCTCTCCTTGCCTGGAGTGCCCACTCCCGGGCGCCTGGGCACGGGCAGGACTGCCCTGAGAGCCTACGTGTGCGGGGTGGGAGGTGGGAAGCGGGGGCAGGCTTAAGGGGAGCTCCGAGGCTGCCGAGGCGAGCCAGCCGAGCGGGGCAGGGCAGAGGGGAGCGGGGCAAGGAGCACGGGGGGAGCATGCAGGTGCATTACCCGGCAGCGTGGACTTCCAGAGGTGGGGGGGCTGGGCTTGCTCCTTGGGGCAGTACACTTGCCCGTTCCAACCATTGGGGATGGCCCAGGGCTGGTAGCTCTCCATTGGGAGCAGGGGCTCGTGCCGGGGGTCGCCCGGGCCCTCGGCGGCGGGCCGGCCGGCCCCGCCGATGGTGGGCACCACGGGCATATCCAGGTAGCCCGGCACGGGCTGGTAGGGGCCGGCGGCGTAGCCCTGGTAGAAGGCGAACTCCTTGGCCCGGGACGTGAAGTCCTCGCCGGAGACCGACGTGTCCATGTACTTGTCGGCGAAGGTGGAGGCGGGCTGGGCGCAGGACTTGATGGCGGTGGGCACCACGGGCATATCCAGGTAGCCCGGCACGGGCTGGTAGGGGCCGGCGGCGTAGCCCTGGTAGAAGGCGAACTCCTTGGCCCGGGACGTGAAGTCCTCGCCGGAGACCGACGTGTCCATGTACTTGTCGGCGAAGGTGGAGGCGGGCTGGGCGCAGGACTTGATGGCGTTGTGGTGGGTCATGCGGCAGGGGTAGTAGCCGCTGCCAAAGTAGCCGTAGGGCAGGGCGGCCCCCGGCGAGCTCTGCCCGGCCGGGGGCTGCACTGCTTGTCAGCTGGCGCGGCCATGCCGGAGGCGGGCGCCTCGCTCGACGTGTAGGCAGCGGCGCTGGGGGCAGGCAGGGATGCGGGATGAGCCATCAGATTCCGGCACTGGTTGGCCGCCGCGGCCGCCGCGAAGTTGCTGCCTGCGTGAAACCCTTCCATGTTCTTATTGATCTCATCCAGGCTGTTGTCGTAGAGGAACATGACGGGCTCGATCCAGCGGGGATGGAGGAGCACGGAGGCTGTCATAGCCCGCTCCGCATTGAGACTAGTGGCTCTTTTTTAAAAGCCCCAAAGACTGAAAAAAGAGATACTAAATCTCCCAGACTTGACCAGGGCTGACGCGCCAGTGTCGCGCCAGGAGGGAGCCCATTGGCCCGCCCGGCCCCACGTGATATGCAAAGCAGCTGATAAACATCTGAGGAATAAAGTGCAGATAATTAAATAATGCAATAATCGCGCAGGGGCTGGAATTCCAGCAGCGGACAGCACAGACCCAGCCTGCCCCCACCACTCACACGCTTGCATGATCAGGGGGGAATAAAAGCTTGGCCAAAGCAAGAAACCAGGTATATATCTGTTTTGGCCCAGGGCCTGATCTGGGTATTTCCCCCCCACACACACACACCTTTTTGTGGGGCTTGCACGGAAGAGAATTTGCTGCGACAACTCCAACGTGCACGCCACGTTGCTTTCCAGCTCCCTGAAATCCAAGCCTCTCAGCTCTTATTTACCGATCAGCCTGGGGGAGGACGGGGGGAGGGGTCCTTAAAAAAAAAGAGAGAGGGAGAGGAAGAAATCTGCCAGCCCCTGGCTCTGAATGCGCCCCTAGGTGTGCTGGACTGTGGCGGTGACAGCATACTGGTGCCTAAATCCCTAAGGAAATAGAAGGTGGAGGGTGCGTCGCTCCCTTTGCAAAGGCAACAGGGCAGCTAACATAGGGAGCTGGTGTCACTTTTTTCCTGGACGTCGAAACTGTAGCACTTTTAAAAAGACATCGCTGTATATGCTTATGGTTTCAGGTCGGGTTTTCCTTTGCCACAAGCATCAGCAGTGGGATTAGCCGGAGAGATAAGGGAATATAGGTTCGCTATGATGGGTGCTGGGTGGTTAACTGGATCGCGGTGTTAGCCGCACGGGGCGATTTGTTATTGCAGTGATCCAACCTGGGCCTGCTCGTTAGCTCACATCTCCTCTGACCGTGAAATACCCCGTCGGATAAGGATCCACGCTGCTCGTTCCGAGGGGATGGGGAAGGCTGCCCTTGCCTAACAGTTTTTTGCTGTACCCATGTGTTAAGCAAGCCACGCGTGGAAAGAAGGGGTTGCTCAGCTATTTTAATGAGAAACCTCTTTGATGGCTAAAAAAAAGACCCTCAACGGTGCATTTCCTTACACGTTGCTAATGCTGCCGCACACATTTGTACTTTATTACAATAGGCACCTAGCTCTACGGTGAGCGTGGATGTGTGCCTCCCTTTACTCCAGTTGCTACGTTAATGGAGGCACCGAGCTAGACATTTGCTGTTGCCTCAACCCCAAGGCGTTCATCTCCAAATATGATGCCTCCAGTTTGACGTGGATGGACGAAAATCCCCCCCGATCCCCTCCTATTGAGCACAGAATGTGTAGCTGCGTGTTTCTTTATTGTGAGCCTGACAGCTCCATGTATTTATTAACCATTGTGCTAACCATTGACGTTGCAGCATTGTTTGCACCGCACTGCTACAAGCTCAGAGTTAGGAGCCTTACATTGTTTGGGAGCTGCCTTTTCATTGTATAATGCGAAGAGCAGAGCTGCCAGCTATTTTAACCACCAGCATGGTGCTCGTGTATTTTCAGAGACAAGCACAGGGGTCCGAAGGCGGTGTTTGCATGCGAAGGCATGCCGGGCTTGCCAATTTTTTCTTCTTTTTTTGTGGCTACTGAACAATATTTTGGCGATTTCCCTCCACTACAGCCAAGGAGTAGTTCCCATTTTACGTTTGGTGTGTTCTTTTCCGCATTCCTCCTGATGACCAAATGTAAATATTTATTCCCAGCATATTTTCCTTTCTTTCAGGCTACAGTTTTATAACCTGTGGACTCCTCCAAGCCCGTGCTTAGCTGGCATTATTTGGGGAGTTGGGATTCCCCTGATTTTCTCGGCCTCTTTCTCAAAAACTCATTGCGGGGCAGCAAAAAAAAAATGCTTAAAAAAAAAGCCAGCTATATGGGCAGTGCTGTTTTACATACGGGTTGGACACGGCTGGAGGCCAAGGTCAAGTTGAAAGTTGCAGGCTAGCCAATGTGAGAACTGTCATTCAACGCTTGAGGACCCGGTCTGATTTGTAGAAAGAAGCAGCCATGAGAACACTCATCTGCTTAACTGTCCTCTCCCTGTCCCCCTTCCCCTCCTCCTCCTGGCTTTGCTCAGCTGTGAAGCTTTGCCGCTGGTCTGCTCTGGTTTTCAAGCCTCTTTCTACATTTAGGGCGAAGCCTTGTGAAATCGCAGCTTTGAGGCGCGGCGCAGTGTGTGCAGGGGCTCATTTTCTTTGCCCACTTGGGCTTGTTCCAACTCAGTGCAAAAATGAGGGGAAGAGATGAGATTAAATTAAACTGCTCATGCCCTTTTCCTCCCCCAGCCGGGAAAGCTGTAAAGTGGGAAAGAGAGCGTATCTATCTGTGCTGATGAGACCAGGGGTCGAGCACCTCGCTCTGAATCGCTGCAGCTAGGTGAAAGGACCAGATTTCAAAGCAGCCCAAGTGGCACCCAAGCTGGGGAAGGCCAGGTTAGAAAAAAAAGAAGCGCTTTTAGCGGATCAAAAGGCAATGGCTATGTTTGTTTTGCTTTCGTGGTTCTGCTCGGAGTCAGGTTTAACGAGTCCGTGACACTGAGCAAAGAGAAAAATATCAACACTTTTCAGTTAATTTCCCCCCTAAACCTTTCCCACCCCCAGCGATAGGAATAGGGGTCCTCTTTGAATACCTGCCATTAAATATTCACATGATCTGGAGAGCCTGAAGGAATCGAGCACAACCATTATTGTTCCCAAATCGTGGAGTCTCTCATGAACCCCGGGGTGTAATATAGGCTTGAGTTTGCCTCAGCCCTACCTATAAACTACTCACCAACATTGTTCGGGCTTTCCCAGTACGATGATCCGGAGGTATAAACACGTTCAGCCAGTGAAGGAACTGAAGACTTGAATCAGTTGATTTAGTTGATTTAATTCGAGCATTTCTACAACAAAACGTCTTGGAAAGTGAATTGGATCATTAATTCACTACTACTTACGCAGGGGGAAAGTTTAGTCACAAGATGAATAAAGTTGTGTTCCTTTATCAGGACTCATGAAAGCCTAAGAAAATTACAAGCGTATGATAAAGCATCAGCATTTTCCTGAAAAGCGATGGCAAGACTCTGAAGCCTTTGTAAATTATACACTACGAAAAAATACTTTGGAAAGCAATAAAGGTGTGAAACCGTTTCCTCGAAAAACGAGGATTAATTCCTTAGAAGGAAAGAGGAGGTGCATTGTACTCTCTGATAGGACTTCATAGTGGGCTCAGCTCTTTCAGTCCCATACAGTTCAGAAGTGATCACAAGTGGGGTTCAGCCCTAGAGGTCTGCCCTTCCAGTTCAGATGTGCAGAATGCCCCTGTTCTTCTCCCCTACACCAGTGTAAAGTGGATTAGTCTCACCAAACTCCCAAGTGTCCACGAACGCAGAATCAGGCCCTTAGTTATAACCAGGGAGGGTCAAACCCTCCATACCCGCAGCAGACAAAACTTCTACTGAAGTCAACGGGAATTTTGCCTGAGTAAGGGCTGCCAGGAATGTGGCCTCAAACCTGTAAATATTAATAATCTGTAAATCTCCCAATAGGACGGAAATATGGCCACCTTTTTAAAGAGGCTTTATAGCTTTTCTCTTTTTAAAGTACATTCAGCTAGTTTTGCGAAGTCAGAGTCGGTAGAGGCAGAATTTCTAGCAACCTAACGGTAAAGGTTGGGAAGCTGCTTAGAGGAGCTCTTTGTGTGATAACAACCCCCCTCCCCAACACACACATGCACACAATGCACACATACACACATATCAACAGCTCTTCAGATACGGTGATTTACAAACATATTTATTTCTTCTAATACAAAGTAAGCGGAAGAATCTCTTCACAAATAATACAAAGCTATAGATACTCACAGATAATCCACAAATATTTTCCCTCTCCTCCTTTAATAGAATCTATTAATAATCCCTAAAAAGACATAAAAAAGTCCTATGGGTCTTAACTCAAAATATATGTTAGTCACAGTCAAATCCTCCTAACCCCGCTAAAAGGACTTTGTGGGTGGAGGATAATTTTCGTTACTAATAAATAATCTCATTCCTTAAGAGTCTATAGGACTTGGAAGGCACAAGAGTAAAATGAGAGCAGGGAGAAATCTTTAATCGAATTTGATTTTCATGAGCAAATGAAATTTACCTGCCATAACACTAATTTGGAGGGAGTCTGTCAACGCTGGTTTCTTCCATAATTTCTTCTCATCCAGTATTGAGATAAACATTCCTTGGTTCGTTTTAAAGACACTTTGTATTTCAGGATATTCATGTGTTTCTAATGTAACTCAGCAGCTTTACGAGCCGAGTTTGCAGGACATCTTAACTCTCTCCCTCCCACTGCGTTCTGGGGCGCTCTAAGATAATTGCAAAATAAGAAGAATTTTTAAAAGCCAAGGCAGAGACGGGCGCACCCCGTGGAGATTCCTGGTGACAGTAATGCTCTAAAGCGAGCCTCTCCTAAACACGAAGACGACAAAAAATATTTCTACGAATAAATTAACATATGTGCATATTTCAGTCTATTCTTGCTTTAAAATCACCATCTCATATAAATAAGATGCATTCAGAACTCTTTTCTTTTCTCTGCAGCATGTTTCATGGCTAATATATACCGACAGGGTGATCAAAATGATCACTTCACTCTGGTTCATTTTTCAAGTTAAAAAGAAGGAAGTTTAGACACCCAGGGTGGAAAATCGACGAATAATTAACGTGAGGATGGAGCTGGCCCAGTGGGTTTGTTTGGGTGAATGGCGTCCTCCTGATGGCCACTTTCTCATTTTACTGTAATATTCTCACGCATATAGCTCCAGAGAGATACGGATTATTCCCTCTTCCCATCTTTGGCGGATTAAATCAACAGAAGTCTTTTGTTAGATGATGGCTGGTAGGAGAAAATCAGGGTAGTGTAAATACACTGATAAACAG